CATATATATATATGAATATCTTTTTTTTTTTTAATATTTTTTATTTATTTCTAGGAGAGAGAGACAGCGTGAGCAGGGGAGGGTCAGAGAGAGAGGGAGTCACAGACTGAAACAGGCTCCAGGCTCTGAGCTGGCAGTCAGCACAGAGCCCAACGCGGGGCTCGAACCCACAAACCGCGAGATCATGACCCAAGCGAAAGTCGGACGCTTAACCGACTAAGCCACCCAGGCGCCCCTATATATGAATATCTTATGTAGGCATCTCTCTATATATAAATGCCTATCTTTAAAAAATGAGTTAGACATGAGAAAATTAGGCAAATATGAAAACAATCAGGAAATTGAGTTGGAACCAGAAATGCATTTGTACACACATTTCAAACCAAAGTCATGTAATTCTGACTGTGAGATTTCTAGAGGTCCTATCAAAGGAAACCTATCAGTTAGAAGATTAACTATCAGTTAAAATCAATCTGTGCTGGGGTGCCTGGGTGGCTCAAGTCAGTTGGGCATCTGACTGTGACTCTTGGTTTTGGCTCAGGTCATGATCTCACAAGTTTGTGAGTTCGAGCCCCATGTGGAGCTCTGCACTGACAGTGTGGCACCTGCTTGGTTTTCTCTCTCTCTCTGTCTTTCTCTCTCCCCCTCTCTTCCCCTCTCTGCTCCTCCCCTACTCACTTGTGTGGACTCTATCTCTCTCTCAAAATAAACAAACTTGAAAACCATAATCAGTTGTACACGAGCATGGTTTTTCAAAGAAGGAAGGGACACCAGGACTAAAGAGTGTGGTCACTGTGCTGTGGGAACAGTAAAACTTCCCAGAGTGGGGAATATCTGGATTTTATTAATTAGCTTTGATGTGACAGGTCCACAGATGTCCCTTAAGAAACCAGTGAGCTAAAATAAGAGCTCTGTGTTTGTCTTTTATTAGTTGAGAAGCCCTAATTCTTCAGGATTCTTAGTGGTGAACTTGCTCCTATGGGTCGTTTCCACTGAAGACTTTCAACTATGGAAACTCAACAGAGTAGACTTGTACAAAATCAGTTGTGTATGAAAGCTCTTTAGATATGGTTCATTTTGCCTTTAGTTCTATTAATATAACTGAAGCTAGAGCTTTAAGTCAGGAAAAATACTGTAATGCACTGGAAAGTTGGTACTTTGGGGGTGCCTGGGTGGCTCAGTCGCAATTTGACTTTGGCTCATGTTGTGATCTCAGAGCTTGTGGGATCGAGCCCCACCATCTGACTCTGTGCTGATGGTGTGGAGCCTGCTTGGGGTTCTCTCTCTCCTTCTCTTTCTGTACCTCCTCACGACTATGAAAAGAAATATACTTAAAAAAAAAAAAAAGTTAACCTCTTTGACCTCAGCCACAGCAATTTCTTGCTTGAAAGACCTCCAAAGGCAAGGGAATTAACAGCAAGCATGAACTATTGGGACCTCATCAAGATAAAAAGCTTCTGCACTGCAAAGAAACCATCAACAAAACTAAAAGGCAACTGATGGGATAGGAAAAGATATTTTCAAATGACATACTGGATAAAGGGCTAGTATCCAAAATCTATGAAGAACTTAGCACACTCCATACCCAAAAACCACAAAGTCCAGTGAAGAAAGGGACAGAAGACATGAACAGACACTTTTCCAAAGAGGAAATCCAGATGGCCAACAGACATATGAAACAATGCTCAGTGTCACTCATAATCAGGGAAATACAAATCTAACCCACACTGAGACACCACCTCACACCAGTCAGAGTGGCTAAAATGAACAACTCCGGAAACAACAGATGCTGGCATGGATATGGAGAAACGGGAACTCTCTTGCACTGTTGGTGGGAATGCAAACTGGTTTAGCCACTCTGGAAAACAGTGTGGAGGTTCCTCCAAAAATTAAAAATAGAAATCCCCTATGATCTAGCAATAGCACTGCTAGGAATTTACCCAAGGGATACCGGAGTGCTGGTGCATAGGGGCACATGCACCCCAATGTTCATAGCAGCTCTTTCAACAATAGTCAAATTATGGAAAGAGCCTAAATGTCCTTCAACTGATGAATGGATACAGAAGATGTAGGATGTATATAAAATGGAATACTACTTGGCAGTGAGAAAGAATGAAATCCTCCCATTTTCAGTAATGTGGATGGAACTCGAAGGTATTATACTAAGTGGAATAAGTCAGTCAGAGAAAGACATATGTTTTCACTCATATGTGGAACTTGAGAAAATTAACAGAAGACCATGGGGGAAGGGAAAGGTAAAAAATAGTTAGAGAGAGTGTGAGGCAAACCCTAAGGGATCCTTAAAGCAGAGAAGAAACTGAAGGCTGATGGTAGGGGGTTGCAGGGGAGAGGGGAAAATGGGTGACAGGCATTGAGGAGGGCACTTGTTGGGATGAGCATTGGGTGTTGTGTGGAAGCAATGAATCACATGAATCTACCCCCAAAACTAAGAGCACACTGTATACAATGTTAGGCAGCTTGACAATACATTATATTTTAAACAAAGTTGTTAGTCATTCCTTGCTGAAGCAATATTATGTCAACTGTTGTCTCTACATGACTGAGTGGAGGAGAGGACAAAGATCCTGCATTCTGCCAGGTAGATTGCAGTGACTTCTTACAATTCCATGTTCTTCATTCATTGTGCTATTGATTTGAACCCAAAAGTTCCCAACCCCCATAGAAGGAGAGTCTGAAACAAATACTTTCTCCATTAAAAAACAAAAACAAACACAAAAAAACAAAGCAAAAACAAACTTCCTAACCTACAGGGATGTTGGCTGGTTTCTGTAATAGATAACAATACTGTGCTTCAGTACAGAGCTACTGGACTCTCCTAAGCCCTCCTTCCATTTATAGAAACGTGATGAAAATGATACCAGTAGTAAGAATTAGCATTTATTGACCATTTGTTATATGCCAGGCATTGCCCTCAGCATTGAACCTGCTTTATTACATCATCTTGTCAACGGCCCAATGAGATGCGTGCTTTTCTTTTATCCATTGTATTAATGAACGAAACTGGGGCCTGGAGAAATTAATAACACACCCAGAGTCACAAGGCTCTTAAGGAACAGATAAGAGAACAAGAATTTAACTTCTGGTCTAACTTCTAATGATGTATAAATCTCTTAACCACATCAAGTTCTAAGTCTGTTTCTTATTCTCTAGTGGCAGATGAAGTTCCTAAGAGGACCAGCTTAATGTTGAAAGGGAAGGGGGGGAACATGCCATGGACAGAGGACACCTGAGGCTTGTGAATATATGAATTTCCTGGGCTGGTTTTGATGTACCTATTTCAGAGACAGGGTTTTATCTTCCACACCCAAGAAATAAGATGTGACAAACTACACTGAATTTTGAGTGGCCAGACCTGCATAAGAGAGGATGTCCTAACTTTGTAAAATGTTGGACTCGTTCATTCCCAGATAACTTCATTTCACACAGAGGAGGCATGCACACACATAGTTCAAGGCTAGCAAATAGATTTTATGTGAAATTTTATCCTAATTACCACAGAATTCCCTCTCTGTTGATACCATTTCCATGAAAAGGTTTTTGAGGTAGAACAAGGCTGTCTGAAGAGTTGACCTTGCCTCACTGGTACATGGACTAAACTTGCCAAAAAAAAAAAAAGTTGTTTGATATTTAAGATTTTATCCCATTAGGTGTCTGAAGAAATTAGCACATGAAACCTGTGATTTTACAAATGTAACTGCTTAGTTGAAAGTAGGTTGATTTTTTTTTTTTAAAGAGGGAGTAAGTTTAAAGCCCAAATTCTACAAGCTAAATATTACAGGAAATGCATCGATAAAGGGACAATTAGGAAAGCAATGCATGGGGGCCTGACACGTGGAGAGGACTTGTTCTCCACTACTTCCTCCCATGCACTAGCTGATGCCACATAGAACTTCTTCTATAGATGATGAATAAGTAATTTGGAAGAAAAATAGAAAGGGGGAGGATCAGTCTAGAATGCATTGTGTTGATTCTTTTTTTCCAGTTCCTGACCCCCGTCATGTGAGGTGATAGAATTTCTGGTGTACCTAGCTGCACCGTTTTTTTAAAAAAATTTTTAATGTTTTATTTCTGAGAGAGACAGTGTGAACAGGGGAGGGTCAGAGAGAGAGGGAGACACAGAATCTGAAACAGGCTCCAGGCTCTGAGCTGTCAGTCTGCACAGAGCCCGACGCAGGGCTTGAACCCACAAACTGTAAGATTCTGACCCGAGCCAAAGTCGGATGCTTAACCGACTGAGCCACCCAGACATGTACCTAGCTGCATCTTTTTAAAGCATATTTCTTCCATTTCTCTCATGAATAGAATTTTCCTTAATCATAGGCAATGATGTGTATCCAGGGTCCTTGTGTCCCTGGTTTTTCCTTGCTTATCATTTCATTGTCCCAGTTCTTTGCGGGCAAAGAAATCCCATGGACCCCCAATCTTCATAGTTGGTTTTTCCTTCCAGTCCATGTTGCAGGGCTGGGAAACAGATAAAATAGTCTTGCCTGAGTCAGATAAGCTCCTTAAAAAGAAAAGATACTATGAGCTGCAATTAAACAGTGCCCAAGGGTCAAAGCAGTCTCCCTTTCCTTAATCATGTGCCTTACTCAAATGAGAATTCCCCAGTACGAAGTGTGCTGTAGAAAATGTACCTGCTTACTGTTTTCCTCTCAGATCCAAAAGGACATTAAAATCAGAATTACCAGAGTTTTGTAAAACTTGGACACACACACGTTTCCATTTTTGTCCCCTTTTCGGGCTTGCTTTCAGTTTTATCTCACAGTGCTACCAGTGATTAATTTAAAGAAGGGTGGCATTTCTTCACCGACTTGATTTATTGTATTTCTGCCATTGCACTCGGGTGAAGACTGGGTGTTCGTTGGTAATTGCCTCGCAGTTTTAAAGATGAGCCTGGTATACCTTATTGCCTATTGCAAATGCAACGAATCAGATGAAGCATGGGCGAGAATTAAAGTAATGCTGTCTCTTCTTTTCAGATGGGAAGGTGGAAGTCACAAAGGAAGGGGTGAAGCTGTGCACCATGGGTCCAGGAAAAGTGTTCGGGGAGTTGGCGATTCTGTACAACTGTACTCGGACAGCTACCGTCAAGAGTAAGGCTGTGTTTTTATTTTGCAAATACTTTCAATGTCTTTTTCTCCCAAGACCTTTGAACTTTTGGTTGACATACATCTGGATTCAATCTCTGTGATTTTTAACCTATATTTTAATTCTCACCTTGCAATGCTGTTGGTTCATCCACTAAAGGAGGGTTAGCAATCAGTTGTGCCCAACTTCAGTTTTATTGCTGACTTCTGGTAAAGCTTCCTTTAACCTGGATTTCCTAGAAATTCAGATTTATAAAACGTGATAAATGAAACTGAAGGAAGACCTCTCGTTTTCTGTTGTTAAGCCTCATGCTGATACTTAGGGGATTTTTACATATCTTGTCTATTCTGGGTTACATTCCCCCATAAATTCCACTTGCTCATTCATTGGGTTAGAAAAATTTAAAGGAGAAACGTCCTTCATCTCATTCAAGCATCACTGGGTGAGATATATCCTGAATTCTAAAATTGTGTTGGAGTATATTCTTGTCTTCAGCTGCTCATCAAGCTGTATATTATAGTATTTTTCTTTTCTACTGATTGAGCTTATTTTAAATCAGGGCAATAAAACAGCTTGTTTTCCTAATTTTACATGTATGTGTATATATGATTTCTCTAGCAACGTTTATTACTCAGTAGAAGCAGCTGCAGTACTTGGGGAGTGAGGGGAAGTGGTTTTAAATACTCCTTCCTGACTACAGGGTATAATGAGTATGTAACAAACAGAGCTGAGTGCAAAAGCCAACAATGGAAGGTCCTTTGCATCTTGAGGCAGATGTGTGTATTTCGTGTTTGAAATGGTCTTAGATACATAATCCTGTAGGTGATTGCAATCACAAGTCCCTCTGATTAGGTTTTCTTACTTTAAAAAATACTATTGGCAAAATGACAAATTATCCATTAGTTTTAGCTGGATGCCATTGATTATTCTCTATGCTGTGTTGTTTTTTTTTTCTCACAAGTATGACATACGGCTAACAATATGGCTCTGAACCTTGGACTGTAAAGAATTCAAGAATGCATGGCCGGCCAGAATCCCAGAAATTGTCCTGTTTGTCTTGTTAGTGAATCGCCTTGTTATTCATTGAAGTCACTAACCCCTCAGTTGCAATTGGGTCCTTATAGGATGAGTTTTTCTTGATACTTTATCTTGATCTCTGAAGGCACAAAACTCTTGATTGATAGGCACCATGACGTTTTTATTTTATTTGATCATTTAATTATATGACTCAAAGAGTAATGAAGCCCAGTGAGGCATTACAGAATCTGCCACAACTTTACCTTGTTTAAAAAGTGCCTTAACTAGATAAAAGAGTAGCCATGGCACTGTTAAGTGAAACAGATGATCCTATCATGCCACGTTTTTATGAGAAATACATTCCTTGTAGGTCACAAAAAGGGGCCACAATAACACATTTTGATTAAAACAGCCTTTCTCTGAATCGTGTATAGTGAATTGTGAATATTTTAAAGTATTTCAGCCTTGTATACTACTCATTTAATCCTAATGAAAACCACAATTCCCAAAAGGTCAAGAGTTGGTAATAACATGTGCTTAATCTTTTGAAACTTTGCCTTATTAAAGAAATATTTTAGATAGACTAAATAGTGCATTTAAATGAATTTTACTGCAAAGATTTTTTTTCATAAAATGATTGCTTGATAACATTTATTGGGTTCCTATAAAATGGAGTTCATCTGCAGTAGCTTCTATTGTACTCACGTTTGATCTGTTGAAATATGTACTATGTATCTGATTCAGTGAGAAGAAACTGGGTGTTGAATGCAAATTAATTCTAACCATTTGGGGTGATCAGAACATCTACACCAAAGAAAATGAGTAATAGAGCATGGTCTTTAACAGACTCACAAAGGATGCACACACACACATACACGTGTGTGTGTGTGTGTATTTCTTCATAGTGCCTACTTAAGATGTGGTGGTTGTACTGAGAAAAGAGCCCGAGGTTGATGGAGTGTACTCTCTCTGCATTTATAGGTGGAGAGGTTTCTGCATGAGTAAGGAATAATACCTATTACCAAGATATTTTCAGTATTGTGTAAAAAACTGTAAGGTGTGAATAATGATTATTTCTTATTCAGGACCTTTTGTTCTGTGTCTCACACTATCCAGGGAGATTATCCTTAGGACCATGATCTTTAAGTACCACTTTAAATTTATGTTTAAATTAAACTTTCACGCTGATCACTTTGTAAGTCTGACTAGGTCCCATTATGGATGCTAATTTTACCAAATGACTACAGAATAGAAACCGCCCCCTCCCCCATGCTATCTTTCTCTTTACATGTGATATTACTCTTTTGATCCAGTTGTTTCTCAGGATTCAGGATTTTGTTGATTCTTGTCCATTTCTTCTTAGCCATCATTTTGTCAGTCATGACCTTTTGGAGTATGGGTTCATCCACCTGGGTATGACCATGGAAGTCTCAGGACTTTGCCCATCCTACTCAATAGCTTGTCCACCCATGCCTCTTTCTTATTCACTTGCGTGAGTTGTGACACCCTTTGTGTCAACATCACCTATTTTGTTTCCTGATCTCTTTTTCTTTTCATTCTCCCTAGGTCAGCCTGAAAGCGACCTAGCATTTTAATGCATTTTTGATCTCACAGTGGTAACTAAGTCTGGGGTGACGTTCCAGAGCTCCTCCATGTATGAGAGTCATTTCTTGTTCAAAAGAGCACTTTTTTTGAAATTGTATCAGACCATGAATAAATAAATCCTAGTGACTTCCTGCTAATAATAACTTCTATGACCTGTTGCTTTCCCCCCCTTAACTTAGGATATTAAAAAAGTTGTTTTCTTATTAAAGCTCAAGATTGATAGATGCTAGAAGATACGATCAGCTTGTCATTGATCACTTTGTCCATAGTTCAACCACCAGAAGCACCAAGATAGTTTGAAGCAAGCCCTTTGTTTTTCACGTGGGAGAAATCCATTGTCATGCATCTAAAAATAAATGTCTCTTACTGGTTATTATGGTAACACCAGGAGAGGGTTCTCATAGCACCAAGAATAACTTTTTATAACACTCAAACCATAATGACCTAGAAAGAAAACATGATACTATGGTGCAGGAGATCTATATTCAGAGTTCATTCCCGTCTTGTAAAGCAGCATCATTGATTTTTTTTTCTTTCTCCTTGAGAAATGAATATGTCAAAATATATAAAATTAACATTTTGTTGGAAACAAATGTAATGGACGTCTTGGGATCTCGCACGACTTAAACACCCTCAAGTTTTCTTTGTTCACTGTGATAGGAACACGGCTGCTCGGATCATCCATTCTATCACAAACTGTCCAGATGCCACAGGGAGGAAAGAAATCAGTTGTTACGTTGGATTTTCACAACACCAAGCAATGTCTCCAATGGCGTTTGAACTTCATATTTTATCTAAATATTTTGGGGTTGTGGAGACAAAAGAGTTTCACTGTCCATTTTCAAGCCCCACAAAGGTGAGGGAGTTCTAATACATGAGTCAGTAACCCTTGCTTCCTCGGTGCCCATACCTGCAAGCGTGTTACTGTCTCATCTTCCTTAAGTGTCGTTTCTGTTTCTGATTTCACTTTTCACTACCCTCACAGCTAAAGCAATATCAGTTTATACTCCCCCTGGGCCTCTTAACCTTGCTTCTTTGCCCAAGGTTCTTTAAAAAATCTGTCTGTCTGTCTGTCTGTCTGTCTCTCTCTCTCTCTCTCTCTCTCTCACACACACACACACACACACACACACACACACACACAAATGGAAACACTGACATTACTGGAAACCTAAAAATAGAATGGAAAAAGCATTTTGTTTACAATGAGAAAGGGGATCCGTGATACGGCCCTGTGTGTGAATTTGCAAGGACATTGATGGAATTCTCTTGTTTTACCTGGATTTCCCACAACCAGTCCTCACAGCTACATAGTGGGGTTTTTGTTTTGTTTTGTTTTGTTTTGTTTTTGAGGTTTGACTTCTATGGCTCTTGGCTCCCAAATTCAGTTGTACATGAATTGGGGTATTGTTGCCTGAAGGTACTACATTGAAGTCCATTCCTCCTCCTATGAGTGTTCACTTCACACATCCCTAAACCTTAGGTAGTAGTTTATTCAAACCGTTTCACTCAGATAGAGTCCAATGAAATCCAGGAATAAAAGATCTCTCCTTGTAAGAAACCTCTCAACACTAGGTTAGGTTGATAACCATGGAAAATTATCTGCAAAAATGGTCTATGGAGGTGTCAGGCTCTTTTGTGAATGACTTGGGCAAAGTATCTGATCAATTCTTTTTTCCTTAGATGATGGAGAGTAAGTATTTAAAAATCCCTCAGTATTAAAATACTTGAGTACTATCACAAAAGAGCCTAAACAAGAAATTTGACAAATTGGCAACTTCAGTAACTGCTAAAAATATCTTTCTGCCTTAGCTTTTGAATATTTGGAAGTTTGCAGAAGCTTTCCTAGGATATTTGTACAGGTGGGGGGGACGTTGACTCACTAAGATATTACAAAGGGTCGTAGACAGTTTAAAAATAAAGTTAAAAGGGTGGGATTTTTCAGTGTGTTCTTCTTAAAACTGAGTCTATACAGTAAGGTGGCTTCTACATGTCCACGTAGCTTTGTGTCAGACCTGTTACTCAACCTGACTCAGAAAAATCTGCCTACTGTCAAAACAAACAAGCTGAAGAATGGGAAAAAATTGACTACTCTTTCTTGCACAAATACCTCTCTGTACTAGGAATGTAATACTTACAAGGTCAACAGTGCCTTTTACTGGTAAAGGAACAAAAGAAATGAATGCCAATTTCACTAATAAAAGGGAATCCTAGATAAAGCTCTTAGATGGACTGTAAGCCTTACATAGGAAGGTGATTAAATCGAGAAGTGAGCAATTAGACACTTTCTTGAAAAACTTCATTATAAAAAGCATTGTTGATGAGAAAGCTACATTCCCATGCAGAGATGAAGCAACATTGTCTCTGAGTCCTCACCACTGTC